AAATTGATGAGCCCTATAATTTTGGTACACTGTGCTCTAAGAAGGATGCCAACCAAGGCATAATATTATAATGTAAAATGTACACTAATTAAGGCATTACTATCAACATGTGCCGAGTAAAGTCATGATTGCATGCATGCCATGAACAGACAAACTTAAGAGGTGTCCTTACGTTTGATAGACTGGAGAGAATTTACTTCATCATGGTCATTTCCAGACTGAATATGAGGGTCAGGGTTATTAACTAACGTGGAAATTCAAAGTAAATCCAAAGTGAATTTCCTATTTAAGGTACACAAAGTCAAAATGGAAATATTCCCTTAATCAACAATTCTTTCAGTTCAAGTTATGTGGCATTAAATGGTTAGTCTACCCACCATGACCACTTCAGTGATTTGAAGTGGTCATGGTGGTAGGATTATGTATGTGCAGTGTTTCATCTTAAAACACTGCACATATTGAATTATTGTCACCTGTGTCCCAGGGCCAAGTTGGCTAATTGCACTCCTGGCACACATGACTTAGGCAGCCCAGAAATCTGTTCCAGGTTGCCTAATGTCAATTTTGTGCATTAATAATGTCTGTCAACATGCACTGCACACTGGCGACAATCATTCTTAGATTCTACCCTTGCAAACAGAGATCTGAAATTCACTATGAATTCTCACTTTAGTGGATAACCCTGACAGGATTATTCACTGAAGTTAGAATTCAGAGTTAATTCAAAATGAATTTCAAATTTGAGACCACAGTAGCTGAAGAGAAAGCATAGCTGACAAATAAACATTTTCTGTTTCAGCTATTTTGACTTTTTAAATTTCATTGGTAGATAGATGAATGGGATGTTGAGCTCCACAATGACCACAGAAATACTGGAAGCTTGCTTCCATGCTTGTCCCAATTATTTAGCGACAAGTTGGTAATCACAAAAATAGGAGTCACTATCGTTAAAGACTAACAATGTATATTTTTTTATTAGCTTATAATGAAGAGCTTCCTTCATGTATATTCAAGCCTGTTCACAATTGTATAAATTATGTTGACATCATCGAAATCAATCAGAGAGAGCTTGTAGTAGGTAGCAAGACTTTAATAGTATGTGCAAGCACTTAAAATGCGGAAGTAATACAAACATAGATTTCCCCTTATTACATGAGGTGGGATTTCTATCAGTAACACAATGCACAAAAAAGGAAAATGGTAGATTTTTGCACCATAGCACACGTAAGAAGCATCAGTTATTATCATACTTGTAGTATCCCTTTAAAACAGTTTGCTTTTGAGTCTCTGTAGAGATTATGGTGAAAGTGATTATTAACATTATTTACATAAGCAAATCTAAAATATCTGCCCGTACGTGGGACTGTGCTTAGAAACACAAGATGTTTCTCCCAGGAGAAATAGCTCTCCATCCTGTCAAACCACAATATTGACTTTAATCTCCTCACTTTTTATATTTTATGGACTTTACACACCCAGTAGTGCCAATAGTTAAAGGATCACTCAAATTATCATAATCACAGCCCGGTTATGATGCCAGGAGTACCCTGTACCGGTGCTTAGACCCTTACCTGGCACCACACCGAGATTCTATTTTCCCTGGTGGTCTGCTGATGCACTTTCAGTTTCTGCAGAGCACCATCATTGGCTAAGAGCATCAGATGACCGCTCTCACCCAATGTCTGACAGTCTATGCAATAAAATTTGCATAGAATTGACACTAACCAGCCTGAAAGTCTAATTCTTGCTGGCTGATGACATCACTATGATGCTGCTGGAGGTGGAGTTACAACTCCAGCAGTAGAGGGGTTATACTCTGTATGTGTAGCGTTTCAGTGGATATGGTGCTTGGAGTAATCCTTTAATTATTTAGAAATCCGTTTAAGGTTACTCACAATTAACTGCAACATATAGACTGCAGGTATTTTTCCCCTTAAAATAAGGTACACCTTTACATAAGCATTTTCTATAGTAATTAAGTTTCTTATTTATGGAATAAGAAATCATTCTACATTTTGGAGAGGTTACAATATGATTCAAATTTTTGGACAGGTAAAATGAATCAATTACACACTAAGGGCATACTGGTTTATGATTGAGAAGCTACCTGTTGCTTTAATTTTGTTAGATTATTTTTTCTCGTATCCTTTTTTTTTTTTATTCTCGTATCCTGTTAACAAGAACGGAAAGAGAGCATCTCGGCCTATCTTGTGTTCTTCATGGAGGAAATAAACAGGATTAATTGAAAGATAGTTACCAACAAAATACATATAGAATGTTTAATTTTACCTTATAATGACATTAATCAACCATTCTGTTACAGGTATTCGGGTGATGGTAAACTTATCAGATAAGACAATACAATGAGATTGGATTCATCTCATATTAAGCCTCTCACAGACATATAGGTGTTTCTTAATGTCTGACTTAATCTACTAGTTTAAAAAAAAAAAATGTTAGTTTTGATTTCACATTCCTAGGGAACATACCTGTGTTTAATGAATAAATCATAATACTTTCAGCAAATCTTACAATGAAATGTAAATGGACACTCCAGACTGTACTGCATTTCTTTTTAAAGCATTATAGAGATGCATCAAAACATAATCCATCGACAAGAAATTATATATAAATACACACATACCTACACACATATGTCATTGGCATTATTACCTGAACATTTGGTTCTTTATGTGGTTAAATGTTGTATTCTTTTTCTGACTTAATAGAAATAACTAGTATTTTTCTATACAGATATCTCAAAGGATTTGAGATAGAAGGTAGAAGATTAGATGCTATGCAGAAAAGGGGTGAATAAAAATGTCAAAAACATGCTAGACATGTCTCAGTATAAGGATTTAATTAACCACTGGCCCTTAATTAGCATTACCAAGAGGCACAATTTTGCATCAAAGTTACATTCAAATAATTGTCCTAAAGGGTTATTTACTAAGGTGGTAATTCAAAGTAAATTTTAGATATAAGGTCAAAATAGCAAGACTCGAAAAATTCTCTAAACCAACTATGCTTTCAGTTCAACTACTATGTCCTTAAATTTGAGATTTGATTTGAATTCGCTTTGAATTCTCACTTTAGTAAATAAACCTACTAGTGTTTGAAATTTGGCTCCTTTCCATTCCATTCTTGCAAACTTCTCTCTTTCCACAGCAATACAAGTGTAAAATTAACATTGAGCCACAGGGTACAAAAACTATAATTATCCCCTTGCCTATTTGTATGATAATTGTATTTAAAGATATGGTACAGTTGCTATACTCCACAATCTGTATATTTCAAACATCAGAGGTGTCCCAATTAAAGCATCACAGTGAAAAAAATTGGTATCTTTAATTTAGTCTGCTTTATTTACACATTTACGTAAACCCTACATCATTTCAATCTGTAAAATATGACCTTTTATGTCATTTGTAAGCATTCTGTGTATAAAATATTGCTCCATCGTAATACATTGAAGCTAAAATATTGCAGTCGTCGTGTCTGCAGTTTTGCTAAATTGTTTGTTAATAACCTGTCAATCTAAGACCCATTTACCATTTCAGTGCTGGTGATTGTGATAGTCAACTCACTCCTTCTCTCTTGAGCAGTATTTTCATGGGTAGAAGAATGTTTTGATGTCTTTTTAAGAGGCATTTTTATTTGCCTGACCTTACATGAGAGAAAAGACTTTTGAGAAAAATATTGAATGGTTGTAACTAATTTAGCATGGATAAATCAGCTGTCCATTAACGAGATTGGAAAGGACTACTAATTCTTACTGGATGGTGTTGTATTTGTTTGCTTTTGAATATTTTTGTTTGTAATTTTATTTTATTTTATTTTATTTTCTATGTCTCTTGTCTTAGCCATTTTGGAAAACATGGCAAAAATTTTAACAGTTTCCGTTTGTTTAAAAAAAAAAGTGCATTGGACTTATTCCTGAAATATTAAAAAAAAACAAAAAAACTTTTAATAAAAAATTCCCAACAAAATATTATTTTGTGGTTACAAATGTGTGACATATTTGCGTTATCTACTTTTTATTTAGATTTAATTTTAATCAAGAAAGTGGAAGTTATACTGCATTTTATTCTTAATGATAACAATCTTTTAAAAAATAACTAAATAAATTGAAAAGGTGTGATTATGTCCAATTGCGAACGTGGGGTATATCAAGTAAACGGCTACTTTCAAAGCTAAGTGTAAATTGTTGCATACAAGTAGATACAAATACAATGAATGTGTTTCCAAAAAATGGCAAGCAAATACAAATAATAACAGAATCTGGAGCAACACAGTATCATTCTTAATCTGCTAAACCATATTAGCTAATAGTGTATTTACACATAAATGATGGAGAACTGAAAGAAGAGCTGGCTTGGGATGTCGTAGTGCGGCTCCCTCATGGTTCAGCTGAGTAGGGATACAGTGAGGGGAAAAAGTATTTGATCCCCTGCTGATTTTGAACGTTTGCCCACTGACAAAGAAATTATCAGTCTGCAATTTTAATGGTAGGTGTATTTTAACAGTGAGAGACAAAATAACAAAAACAATGTCCAGAAAAATGCATGTCAAAAAAGTTATAAATTGATTTGCAGGTCAATGAGTGAAATAAGTATTGGACCCCTTCGACTTGGTGGCAAAACCCTTGTTGGCAATCACAGAGGTCAGACGTTTCATGCAGTTGGCCACCAGGTTTGCACACATCTCAGGAGGGATTTTGTCCAACTCCTCTTTGCATATCCTCTCCAGCCATCAAGGCTTCGAGGCTGATGTTTGGCAACTCGAACCTTCAGCTCCCTCCACAGATTTTTTCTGGGATTATGGTCTGGAGACTGTCTAGGTCACTCCAGGACCTTGATGTGCTGCTTCTTGAGCCCCTCCTTTGTTGCCTTGGCTGTGTGTTTTTGGTCATTGTCATGCTGGAATAGCCGTCCACTACCTATTTTCAATGCCCAGGCTGAGGGAAGGAGGTTCTCACCCAAGATTTCATTGCCCTGTCCATCGTCTCTTTGACGCGGTGCAGTTGTCCTGCCCCCTTAGCAGAAAAACACCCCAAAAGCATAATGTTTCCATCTCCATGTTTGATGGTAGAGATGGTGTTCTTACGGTCATAGGCAGCATTCCTCCTCCTCCATACACGGCGAGTTGAGTTGATACCAAAGAGCTTGATTTTGGTCTCATCTGACCACAACACTTTCAACCAGTTCTCCTCTGAATCATTCAGATGTTCATTGGCAAACTTCAGAGGGGCCTGCACATGTGCTTTCTTGAGCAGAGGGACCTTGCAGGCGCTGCAGGATTTTAGTCCTTCACTGCGTCGTGTGTTATCAATAGTTTTTTTGGTGACTATGATCCCAGTTGTCTTAAGATCATTAACAAGATCCTCCCGTGTAGTTCTGGGCTGATTCCTCACCGTTCTCATGATTATTGAAACTCCACGAGGTGAGATCTTGCATGGAGCACCAGACTGATGCAGACTGTTATTTTGTGTTTCTTCCATTTGCGAATAAGCGCACCAACTGTTGTCACCTTCTCACCAAGCTGCTTGGCGATGGTCTGTAGCCCATTCCAGTCTTGTGTAGGTCTACAATCTTGTCCCTGACATACTTGAACAGCTCTTTGGTCTAGGCCATGGTGGAGAGTTTGGAATCTGATTGATAGCTTCTGTGGACAGGTGTCTCTTATACAGGTAACGAGCTAAGATTAGAAGCACTCCCTCTAAGAGAGTGCTCCTAATCCCAGCTTGTTACCTGTATAAAACACACCTCGGAGCCAGAAATCTTGCTGATTGATAGGGGATCAAATACTTATTTTAGTCATTGACATGCAAATCAATTTCTAACTTTTTTGACATGTGTTTTTCTGGAAAAAAAATTTTTTTTGTTATTCTGTCCCTCACTGTTAAAATAAACCTACCATTAAAATTATAGAGTGATAATTTCATTGTCAGTGGGCAAACGTTCAAAATCAGTAGGGGATCAAATACTTTTTTCCCTCACTGTATGTATACATAAGAAAGCACAAACATGATGACATGAAATTGTAAACAAGGCGCGTGGCAAAAATGCCTGTGTCGGACCGCCAGTATATCGCCGCCACGAACTCCATTTACCAGTGTGAAATAGCTCTACCAAGTTGTGAGAGTGATTATAGCTGGTATATTTTTCCCCCTATACATTAGTCGAGACTTAATGCTGGGAGTAGATCTGTTTATTTCAGTCAAGCACTCTAAATTTATACACAGACCCCCAGCAGGAGGTCTCCATACAGAAATATAGCAAGCTCCTCCCTGGCATCCCTGTGTCTGAAAGATAATTGAGTCAAGAAACTATAACTTAACCCCTTAAGGACGGGGGCGTTCTATGCCGTCCTTAAGGAACCGTCTCTAAATGCCGGAGGGCAGCATAGAAAGCCCAAACCGTCCTTTATACTTACCCGGTCGCCGGCGATCACACTATGGGGACTCACCTGGGAGCCCAGGTGTCACCCTCCATCTTCTTCGGCCCCCTGGACCATGTGATCGTGAGGTCCTTGCGAGGTAATGACAGGTACTCCGCCTGCTGTCTGAAATTTTTTTTATTAAAGTTTAAAACAGTGTAAAATAACATTATATATACTTAGATCATATATATATATAATATATATGATCTAAGTATATATATATATATATATATATATATATATATATATACACACACACATATACACACATACACATATATACACATACACTGTAAGTGTCTTTTAATATAAATATATATAATTATAAATATATATTAATATCAAAATACGTGTACAATGATATTGATTAAATATATAATTTTTATTATATATATTTATATATAATATAAAATAAATAAATCTGTAAATACGTTAAAAAATTTAATTAAAAAAATAAATATAATATATATATATGTAAATTCATTCTAACTGTATTTTAAAATTAATATATATATATATATTGATATCAAAATACATGTAGAACAAAATAATATATATCTATATACATAAGTATATACGTATATATTACTATCTATATACCTATATATATAAATAAAAATAATTTTAAAAAATTATATACATATATATATATATACATATATTTATATACACCCACATATATAATAATTCTACGTATATATTTATGTAATAATTTTACATAATTAGGTAATTTTATTAATTACAATGAGCAGGACCAGCTTGACAAGTCCGGGGAATTTAATTTGCTAGCACTATATTTAACCCCTTAAGGACACATGACATGTGTGAAATGTCATGATTCCCTTTTATTCCAGAATACAAAACTAAAGAAAGAAAAGAAGGAGAAAAGTAGGAAAGACTAATCCCAATAGTCCTAATAGAGTGGATTTCCCTTTAAGAAAAGGGAAATTTGTATCGGGAACAGATAGTGCCTAATAACGCAATCCCAAATATAAAACGTAGCTTTTAATAACAACTAACTAAAAATACGGATAATAGTGGATTCAATTGCCCACCTAAACAGCTATGCCTATATATAGCCGAACAACGGCACCTCCAGGAGCAGTCTGGAGATAGTCTCACGTTGGGAATTTAACCCTTGCACTGCCGATAGAAAGTCACGTCCATTAACGTTATATCAGATCTTAGAAACAATGACACAATAGTTGCCATTATGGCATTATCCTACAGAGGAGGAGAGAGCAGCAGTAGGAATCGCTAACAGGCATTATAAACTTAAATGCCCTAAATACAGAGCACTAAACACGCAGAGAACACAGTGATCAAAATAGAAATATATAAATATTCGAAGAAACTAAATTGTCTCAGTAATTATAGGCAGGTGTCTCCAAGATGGTACTGAAATGGCAGAAACACAATAAAAAATTGTTGTCCCAACCCAGCGACACTGTGCAAAGAGAACATTGAAATGCATTATGACCATAAAGGCAGTTTGTTCAAGATGGCCAAAAGTGTTGGACGGGAAAGGAAAGCCCCCTATCTGGAGGCCATATAATTAACAATAAAGAATACAGTACCATTATTGGAACATTGTTAATGTATAAATGGAGTGAAGTTGAATACTTCATTAAGACCTGAGGGTGTGTGAGTTTTAAATTCATGAATCCATTTGGACTCCCTTTTCAGTAATCTTATATTAAAGTCACCCCTTCTGGTATTAGTAGATAAGCGTTCAATGGCTTGAAAATGAAGGCAAGATGGATCCCCTTGATGTTGGGATCGAACATGGTTTGCTACTGGTGTAATAATGTTGGTATTGGTGACTGAGTTGACGTGTTGTAAGATATGTCTCCAGAATTGTTGATACGTCTTTCCTATGTACTGCATTTTGCAATTACATGTGATAACATAGATAATTCTAGTGGTACTGCAGTTAATGAAATTGCGAATCACATATTGTTTGTTAGTTTTAGTACATAGGATAGATTTAGCAGGGTTGATATATTTGCAAGCCTTACAGGATCCACATTTGTAAATGCCCTTCGTCTGTGTCAGCCAACCTGGGGTTGTGATGGGGGGTTCCAAGTGACTGTGAACCAGAGAATCTCTTAGGTTCTTGGGTCTTCGTGCCGTGAGAGTGGGGTAAGAGGTAATGTTATCTTGGAGTTCTTTATCGTGTAGAAGAATTGGCCAATTATTTGTCAGTATTTCTCTCACAGGCTCCCAATACTGATCAAAAGTTCCGACACATCTTATAGTTTGTTTTGGCTATTTGGGTCTCGAGGAACGGAGACAGAGTGCTCTGTCCATGCTGTTCACCTTTTGGTACGCTTTTTTTAAGATTCTATTGGGATACCCCTGTTCCTTGAATCTGAATCTGATGTCCTTAGCTTCTTTCTGGAAGGTGGTGGCTTTGCCAATGCAATAAGCAATAAGCTGTTAGTAGCAGTGGCCTTTCTGTTGTTACTGTACCATCCATGCCCAGTATGATTCTCAGATCCAGGAATTCCAATGTCTTTCCAATGTCTTTTCCTCAATGACAGATGTTAGTTGCAATCCAATGTTATTGTCATTGAGAATATTGACGAGTTCTTGGAATTTCGGGATAGATCCTGTCCAGAAAAAAAGCACATCATCGATGTATCTATGCCAATTCAATATGAATTGGCGGTACTCATAATCAATTTCCGACAGGATAGTTTCTTCCCACCAGCCAAGGTATAGATTAGCGTAGCTAGGGGCACAAGCTGTCCCCATAGCAGTGCCCTTCATTTGCAAATAGTTTATTCCATTAAATACAAAATAATTATGTGTCAGCACGAAAGTAAGTAGATCCAATATGAATTGTTGATGTTGTATGGAGAATTTCTTGGACTTCTGTAGGAAATAAGAGGTTGCTTTGATGCCTATGTCGTGTGGGATATTATTATATAGTGATACCACATCTAGACTCGTAAGTGGAGGTGTATTTTCTTGTTCAGTGAGAAGTTGTACCAGGGTTTGAAAATGTGTGAAGTCTTTGCTGGTAAAACCCAATTCCTTTGCTTCTTTATTATTTTTCTTTTTATGTAATGAGCATAGAGCTAGTTTGCGGCCAAATAGGTTGATATCGTTCAGCCATTCAAACTTGTCTGCGCTCGGAGTAGGTACAAATGATAATCCTTTATTCAATAATGTGATATGATCGGGTAGGAGTTTAAAATTAGAGAGGTTAATAATTTTCATATTGGAAATATCCAACTGATCTCATTAACTGATCTAATGGAATTGCTGCGGTTGGGTTTGTACCCCCATCTCTGCCGGTCTCGTAACCGTCCCCTCTGTGGTAGGGGCCAGGCTAGGTCTAAAAAAGAAGTAGAGCCTGATGAGGATGCTGCAGTAGATGGGGGAGGGGTGTCTAAGAAAGCTACAGTTTTGTTTGGGTCTTTAAGCGGATGCTTTTAACATAGGACCATTTTGGTGGTTCCGACTGTTCTTTTGTACCGAACGGAGGGCTTTTTTTGATACCAGCTACTTCTTCTATACTAGGGACTCCTTCCCCCAAATCTCCTATAGCATTGTAGGCTATTAGTCACATTTATTTTGCTGGGTAGCTGGATCGCTATTTTAGCCTCTTGATACAATTGTTTATATTACCCATACATTGGGTGCACCTAGTTCTCTATCTATAGATTGTATCTATTTTGCATCTAATGGCTTTGAGTTTTGTGCATATCCACTGTATCTTATCTATTTGATCACTGAATTTACATTTATACTTGGCAACTTGCTATATACATACGTATATTTATTTCTGTGATCATT